TTGACGCAAAGGCTCATCGGGGTAATCTTGCATCGCATCTGTGTTTATTGCGAAGTGATTGCTTGACTGTGCAGCATTACTTCGTTTTTAGCTGGGATGTGAGTAGTGGCTTTGTATTCCTATATTAAAAGGGGATTGAGCAACAAAACGGGATGGCGCTATTTGAGTGATCTAAAATTAAATGGCTGATATCATTGTAGCGTGTAGGGTAGATCGCAATGTGTATGTGCATACTGCAAGTACTCCAGGTTCATCTTGGGTCGCTACAACTTTAGCACAGAGCTGGCCAACAGAGCTCGACCTTAGTCCTGTGCCGGAACGTCACCGCTCCTATTTTATGTACCATCTTTTCTTAATTAGTCTAACGCCAACCAATGAAGGAGCGTTCGTCCTCCTCCTCTCTATGCCTCGTTCGCCCTCCTCCCATATCTACCGCGCTCGCCATACGATGCGTCTACCACAGTTGGTCTCAATATCCGAAGTGTCCGGCTCAGTGTACTTCTGACTACAGCCCCCAGCACGGTAGCTGGACGCTAACTTTGCCTTGCGCGGACTCTGTCAACCTAAATGGCAACGCCAAGGTCTTTGGAGTCGACGAGGCTGAGCCTGAGGCAAGTGAAGACGCAGCGTCCGTATTAATACTATCAGCACACCGGATCCTAGGCCAATCAACGGATACAGGAGGTGATCCGGGTTCGGGTGGAGTGACAAAATGAAGAGACTCGTTTAAATCAAATCCAGGCTGTATCTCAGATGTGGCTCTGCTTGGACAGGGTGAAGGAAGGTTACGCCCGCAAGCTGGCACATCTGTAGCATGGACCGCACCGAGCGAAGTAGAAACACGCAGCCAGCGAAACAGGAGATGGAGATACGGAGTATCGTAGATTCCCAGTCGTACATGTATCCAAGCTCAACTTGGTGAAACATTACCCGGATCGGTCTAAGATTCACCCCACGATATCTGAACTGAGTCGGGTGGATTTTGGTGAGCCTTCTGCCCGAAGAAGGTTGGGCCTCGGATCCGAATCGGGATCGGTTCGGTGTGATGCAATACCATGAGGAGTGATCGGGTGAGGATCCACCGATGTAAATTGGTCGTCCCGGTGGAAAGCGACGAATGATTCACAAGGAAACTGTTTATCAGGAGAAAGGGTATTGATGCTTACACACAAGAGTGGTGTTTGTACATGCAGGAGTTACCGATGAAGCTACAGGACCTAAAGCCGGGAGGGTTGGATCGGGGAGATGCAGTAGCGTGGAGAGTTTGACTCATCCATGATCTAGTGGTGTACAAGAAAATATGGAATCACGATCGAACGAGACAAAACTGGATTGCGAAGGGTTAAACCTAGTCTGAAAAAAATCGTCTCACTGCGGATTGAATTTGCGAAGAAATGAAGTGGATGCGAGGCGCCGTGAGTAAAGGAGAAGCCGATCTCCAAGATTCTCGAGAGGGGTACGACCCACGCCAGGGATAGGATTGGCAGCCCCAGTCTCTTTGTCATAAAGGAACTTTCCCACCGGACGTAGTATCTGGTGAGCTGAATGGTCAGATCCACACAGATCTCATTACGCCAGGGTTCTGCCGCATCGCTCTTCGTCCAATATAGGCGCAGGCTGGGGACGGTGGAGATTAGGATCATCCAGGCTGGTGCGACGAGCGAGCGGGAACCCATATCAACAGGCCTCTTTAATGGTGGAGATTCCCACATTTCCCACTATAAAGCTTATGATGGTATGGAATGTCGTATTAGATGTGGAAGAGAGTGGGGAAATGGGATCCATAGTGAATATAGCATATATGTATTAAAATGTTTACTTCGAATAAAGAGATTTTGCTCTGTGGAATCCTGCGGGACTGTATCAAGGTAGTTAGCATGTAGGATACCCTCCAGTGAAAACGTTGTCAGTAATTGCTGGTACACATTGCATTCCCAACCGATAATTGAAAAAAACTGACTCAACAGTAGCTGTGTTTGGGAACGCTGCTGCCAGAACACCGCTGGTACAATGCCTTGTTCTTTTCGTTAACGATCCTCCATCCACCAGCAAAGTCCGTCTTCGCATCTGTGCAGTCGTTTAAAGCCACTGTTAGTATGCCATTCTCTTGCGCAGCCACATGAGCTTTTTGTGGTCATTTTTAATTTTGCGTACGTATGATACTCATCCAGCATCAGAAGCCCTACGTAAATATGTGAGTTTAATGACCTCATGAGTAGTTTGAACGAATTGCGCTGCACCACGGATGGAGGCACCATTTGGGACGAAGCCAGCTAGTAACTTCTATAGTCGAGGGGATTTAATGCTCCCTTTGAGCAGCTGCACCACTGGGTTGGAAGACGGACAAAGTTCAGTGGCTTGCAGGTTCTGTATAGACAACGGAAGATAGACTAACACGAACCTCGAGCAACCGTTCGTGTTAGTCTATCTTCCGTTTTTTTTTAAACAGAAACGGCAAGCCACTGAGATCATTTTAGAATTCCGCTCGGCAACTTCGAGACCGCACGTGATTTCATATTCTGGCTGAAAATGTGTCCTTAAGTTTTTGAATAGCGCGCAAATTCTCTTGTAAGTACTTTTAGCGGCTCTCTACGTTTTTCTTCTCGCTTCTCGTCGCCTTTTAAGCCCCTTAAAATAGCAACACAAGGGTGGTAACCAAGGACTAACCTTTGAAATTAGAAGGCGTCCATCAAAATCGTCCCACACGAACGGAATTTTAAGATGTGTGAAGGTGTGGGAAATCGGGTCCATTTCCCACTATTAAAGAGGCCTGCATGTTGCCCAGTCCGGGTGGCTGCGAAGACGCAGCAAAAAGAGCCCAGGAAAAGGCCCACGTCCCCCCAACCGTCCTGCATTATCAGAATCAGGATCACGAGGAATCTGTTCCACGCTCGCCCGGCATGACTACGTCGGTTGCCACGCTACTTGTTAATATTTGAGAGTCGTGTCGAATCTCGCAACTTGATCCGGGTAATCAAATTTGTGGGTGCCTCCCATAAAGCAATCCGAGTCTTGGTCCAGAACTTTTGGAAGGCGCCAATGAACATCCGAGGCAACCGCCCACGTCGCGACGAAGGCTTATTAGATCCACGTGAGTTGCCAGTATATCCCACTGTGCGGCCTTATGTAAGACTTTAATGTTGGACGGGTGGCTAGATTATCCAAATAGCCCGATGTACGTTCGTCATCCTCTTCACGCGGATAGATCCACCCAGCCCGGAGAGAAGGTTCCGAAACCAAGAACGTGAGCTTCATTGTCACTATCGACACTCGGGTCCAGTTTTTCGCAAACAATCGGCAGAAAACGTCCTAGATCGGGACTGACCAGGGATGAACGCATCATCAGGGCCGAGCAGCGTAGCAAAAGCATCCTCGGGAAGGAAACGATGGATTGAGATGTCGCCGATGTGGACCCAGCGAGACCTCCACTCAGTTGCGAGTCGGCTTGTTCGTCGCTCTCTTGGCCCACGTTGTAGCCTACAGAGATCGTGAATCATGTTGTACCGTCTTCATCCCAGCCGACGAAGTGTTCGGTCGGTGTGGAGTGGGATCTGCGTCACGCCTCCGATCTGGACTGCGAAAGGGTCATCGCGAATGCCCCCCCCCCAGGAACTCGTCCGCAAGATTGGCCTTCTCCGAGACTTCAGGATCCTTTCGTCTTCATCCTCGTCTTCCGAACCGTAGAAATCGTATCCCCTCTAGGTCAGACGCTTGCTTTGAGACTTGATTTGAATAGACTTGGCTCTGGTGGGTCGATATTTTCGGACCCCTCAGCGTCATCGTTCTCGTCGTCATCCAAGCTGCCAGGGCCCCACTATTTTGGGATTGGGCTCGTAGCTTTGGCCTCTTTGCGGACTTGTGTGGTGTCGGAAATCCCACGTGATCTCTAGCTATAAATGTAGTTAGGAAGCCCTCACAACAAAACGTCTGCTAGAATGGCAAACGATCGTTCGGACGGACATGAAGACCCCAGTTCTGCCTTTGCACCGGGACAGACTGAGCCTTGTGAGCTACTTATATGGGCCAGCCAGTATAAATAGGAACACGCTACTAGCACGAGCAAAGCGAATAGGTGTTATGAATCCTCCTGGTCCCAACAGCCGAATGGTAATAGGCACGGTTAAGCTTATTACTAGGGCACCGAGTGTTCAGCATTCGGTTGGAAGAATCACAGGGGTGCAATTCAAGCACTTCCAGTCGTGCAAATAGCAAATTATCATAATCGTGCTCCGGTGAATTGTAATCAACCTCGAAAATTTCGAAAGTTTCTCACTTTGAAGACTCGCTGCCTGCCAGTACATGTACTCGACAGTCTCGTTTACGTGACGGAGCGTCTGCCGTGTCTTCGTTCGACTCGTAGATTATTTCTTGGACACGGTTCAGAGACACCAATTTCGACTTGCGAGTTTCGCGACTGGCCTTCGATTCGAGCGCCTCCGTGGCTAATGAATTCGCAGCAGCGTTGTATTCTCGTACTACATGGAGATATGTCACTGTTTGAAGCTTGACCGTGATTTCCTTGTGGATATTCAGCAGCGCTAGCAGTGTCTCCTTCCTGCATGCTATCACCCCTAGTGATTGTTAAATCGCTTCCTGAAAGATAGTATACGTTTTGATATATTTCTGCAAATTTGAGCTACTAAATTTTAATGTCGTTCACTTGGAGAATTTACTAAGAGCTATTACTAGTACAATAATAATATAAGTACTACTGTAGTAAGTCATAGTATTAATTCCGACTATAGTAGTACCACTTACTGTACGCTCAACACTCACTTAAGTATGATCTGGTCCGCTTCAAAATAAGTTTGCAAGAAATTTGTACTACATACTTCGAAGTAGTACTACCGGTAGTACTAAGTACAAAGTATGCGAGTGATCTCCAGGTTTAATTTTTTAGGTGCTTCGCACAAACAATTCACAACTCCTAGGATAAATACCACTTTTCTGCACGATTGATAAAAGCCGGCACCTTAAAACACGAACAAACCTGCTATGTTTCAACTTTTAGCAGACGAAGCTGCTACCACCTTACCTGGCATGCTGCTACGGCGTAGTGCCGGATGGAAAGCCACTTGATCCGCACTCAGGCGGTGGTGTGGCTGCACCTGCAGCATACACGACAGCAGGTTGATGGTGGGACTGGAGATGAGCTTCGTCAAGCCCCAAAGATCCAAAATTTTGCCCACACCATACTTGTTAAGCACACGCAGAGTGGGAGCACAGCGCTGTTCGTCGGCAAAGAGCGGAGAGCCCGTCAACAGGATGAAGAGCAGCACGCCGAGCGACCACACATCGGCCATTTTGGGATCATACACGGCACCCTGGAAGACCTCGGGAGCCATGTAATAGTACTTGCCCACTACGTCCGACGACACTTTGTTAGCGTCAGCACTGAGGCCAAAGTCGCAGATCTTCACCTGGCCGTCGTTGAGCAATACATTCTCTAGCGACAGATCACGGTGGGCAACACCATGTGCGTGTAGGAAACTCAGTCCCTTGGCCAGTTGCACAAAGAGCGTGAGTGCCTCGTTCTCCCCCACACGGCGTCCAGGCTTGGACGTCACGTAGTCGTACAAATCCCCGCCGGCGCAAAACTCCATGGCAATGTAGACGCTGTCGCCGGACGAAAAGAAACCTTCACGTACATACTCAACCACGTATTCGCGGCCGGGTGCGCGGGTTATCACAGATTCCTCGAGCATCTGCACGACGATGCGTTCACACAACGGGTTCTCCTTAGCTGTGGGACTCTGACTCTCCTGCTGCAACAACGGGATACTCACGCGCTTGAGCACCACGAGTTTCTTGCCCAAAGCTTCGTCCCGGTACAGCGCTGTCTCTCCGTACAGTGTGGACGACAGTTTCTTGATGAGTGTGTAACGGGCCAGGACGTCAGAGAACACGTCGGGGTCGGCGGCCGTGGGAGCAACAACAGCAAGCGGAGCGTGAATCATTGCTGTGTTAATGGGTAAGGACGGAGGCGACTAGCGCGTTGGAATAGTGGTGGTGCCGGCGCAGTCTCCTCCCCTTTCAGAGCCGACGGGGCTCGCGAAATGCGCAAGCAAGGACTTGTAGAGCGAGTTGAGAAATGAGGCCAACCGCCGAGCTTTCGTCGCCGTCAGATTGACATGAAACAAATGAAGTCGAACTTTGCTCCCTTTTCTTATTGCGTGTACCGACGGTGCCAACAGTTGCCTTTTTGCAAGGCCTTTATGTATGAGAAGGTCATTTCTTATACATACATGTATTCTGAGTCCTCAAGACTTGAGTCAAGTCGGAAAAACAATAATTGTAGAGGAGGGATATTCATTTACGGAGGAAAAGAAAACTGATTGGTGGCCCGTCACATAAAAATTGGGTCGGGGAGACTCAGGAAATTCACGGTAAATCCACGCAAGGATAATTTTAAGACGACTGACAACTGTGAAATGACAAAACAAAGTCTGGATTAAAATCCACAGAGTCCACATTTTTAATATTTGTCAAATTACGTTTTCTTAACAAAAGAAAAGATGAACTGATGCGGTTGAGTAAAATGTGGTGTAGGGATTTCCAGATTCGACCATACGCCGACCTACTTTAGGTCAAGAATCGGCTCGGTCTGATAACCCAGAGCTTAGGAGCCAAGGATCACGGTAAGTACTCGGCGATCTGTCCGGATATGCTATCCGGACAGCCGCTGAGCTCAACGGTCGCCGGAACTCAGCTGAAGGGTCGGTAGAGATCCGAAACGACTACATTTCATTAGATATTTGTATGAGAAGCATAGGATTAAATAGGGGGAGCCGAAAGGGCTCCCAGAAGATAACAGAGCAGAATTTTCCTAGTCCAAGACACGTGTACACTTTTCCGGTAAGTCCCTGCATAGGGCTGGATTATGCCTGCCGTCAATACTCGAGAGGCATAGCTTGTAGGGTATTGACTGGTAGCGCCAAGAGATTTGGTCGGTCCGGGTAGGACAAAGTCTCGCTACGCGCGAAAGAAAGTCCCGCATACTCAGCGGGCCGGTACGTCGGATAGCCCGGGTGCCGTAACACTTCTAGCTGAGCTGCCTCTGCGCTCGGTGACCTGTAAAAGCGCTCGCGCGCCGTCGTCCATCCTTTGGTGGAGGGCACAGGGTTGTGAACGAGCTCAGCCGAACCAAACTCGGCGGAGCCTCGGAAGTGATTTGACTTGGTTAGTCGGAACCGAGTGGAAGCGAGCCACTCGTCTGTCCCGGAAGGGCCGGACCGCGAGGGGACCACCCTCTGCGCAGGCCATACAACCGCCGACCTAACTCGGCGATTCGTTGTGGTTTGTGTAAGGAATCCACATCTGACGATATTTGTGTGTTCTACTACACCACAACTGGTGCCGCGACCCGGGAACAGGAGTGTGTGCTTGTTTTTATAGGTGCCAGCTAACCAAGTTAAGAGGAAGAGAAGAGAAAGAGAAGAGTGAAGATGGTCAAGGGATCAGCAACTCCGAGCGACGGAAGCCAAGCGACGGCTGGAGGATCGCCTCTCGCGGGGTCGGACCCGGCGGATCAACGACTCATCGCCATGACGATGGAGGTGGGACGAACCGTCCAGTTCGACGAGGATGGCCAAGACCAGGAGAGCGAGAACGGAGATGCAAGTGAAGGAGAGTATGAAGAGAAGGCCGAGACCGCTGAGCTCGGAGAAACGAAGACTACCGCCGAGCTACTTGGCGAGGTGGAAGAGCTGACGCTGCAGGTGGGACGCATGGGAGCCCCACGTCCTGTCGAGCGCAACTTATCCGCCGAGCTCGACGAAGGTGCGGACGATGAAGAAGATGAAGAAGAACATGGCGTTGCTCAAGGGGACCGTCCACCCCTTATTCCGAAAGCGACGAGGAACGCCGATACGCCGAGCGCCAATAAAGTGTTGGCTCGACTCGGCGAGGAGATGAGAACGAGATCGGAATGGATGATGATGTTCGCGCCTGTAGCGATGGCGCAGGCGAAGTGGGCGATGTTGGTCTCGAGTAACTCAGCCGGTGCGTTTTTTCTAAAAACAACCAGTTGGTGGAAGATTCTATTTGTAAGACCGAGGCGATGGGCTATCGGTGCAACAGCCGACCAAACAGCGTCATCCTGTCCGAACGGAGTCTGACCCGTGGCGGAGCCGAACTCTGGCAATGGAAGAAGAAGCTGAGAGTAGCGTTTGGATTGGAGAAGGCCCCTGGTTAAGCGAAGAGGGTGTACAGCCGAGTAGCCGAGCTCAAACCGCTCGGCGAGGACCCGAGCAAGATTCCTTTGCCGAAGACCCCGGAGACGAAGAGACGTGAAGTGTTCCGCGCTACGCAAGGGACTCCGTACTTCGAAGACTCTCACATGCTGACTCCACTGAAGCTAAACCCGACTCAGCGAGCGCCGAGTCGTGGGCAGCGGAATGTAGGTCGTTACCGTGAATTGTATGACGCTGCAGATGAGGCTGAGGCTTACGAGGAGGATGAAGAAGACGACGACGCCTTCGACGTGAGAGGTAATCGTGAAGAAACCGTGAAGGACTACATCCGAAACTTGAGCTTTGACGCGGCTGAAGAGGACTCGACGCAGTACCTCGAAGTCCGAACCCACGCCTCGCTCGACAAAATCGCCGAGTTCGAAGGAAAGCGCTACCGCTCTGACGCGTCGCTACAGTGGCTCAAGCGTTTCATCTACGAGATGAAGAGCACCAGGATGCCCCAAAGTGCATGGTGCGAGCCTTTCTCGCTATGCTTGGGACGTGCGGCGAAGAGTTGGTACAGGCAGCTGCCGAAGAAGACTCAGCGACGTTGGAAACTACTCAGCGAGGCGTTCCTGGATTATTATTGCTCACAGTTCGACCAATCCGCCCGCACTCGTTACTACTCGGCGAGACGTAAAGTCAACGAACCGATCTGCGACTTCCTGATCCGACTCAACGGGTATGCTCGGACAGCCAAGATCCAGTACGAGAAGGGTGGCGCCGACGCAGCTGACCATGTCGAACACTTCTTGCTGCATTGTGGTGATGACGATGTGATGGATTTGATGTACCCCTTGCAGTTGGGAGACATCAGTAAGGTGGAACAGATAATCAATCGTCGGATCCTCGGCGAGAAGCGCAAGAAGCAACGCGACCGACTCGTGATCGCACGAGGCCGAGATGACAAGCGGAAGGATCAGAGCCGCCGAGATGAGTAGCGCAGTCGCAAGGAAGAAAACCGCGACCGCCGAGTCACTGTCGTGGACGCTGACTCCGACGGAGAGGAACTCATCGATCAGAAGCCGCCGAGTCCGTACAACTCCGAAGACGAATGGGATGATGAGGACCAGTCCGGAGGCCACGACTCAGCGGAAGACGACGACTACATTGACGCCGGCGTTTCCAATGATAAAGGAAATACACCGGACCGCCGAGAGAACTCGACGGGAGACCAGAAAGGCTCGAACCGAAGCTGGGGAAACTCAGCGAACCGACCTCCGCGACCGTACAACCAACGAGAGCAGTCGAATCGTGGAGATGGATCACGCGACAACACCCAACGTGGACCTTGTGCAGCTTGTGGAAGAATGGGGCACTCGGCTCACTACTGTCGACGACGCTGCAAATTCGGCAGACAAGTCCATGAAGGCGGCCAGTGCGAGCTGTTTCGTCAATATGAGAAGCTGGCTGCGTTCGTGAAGAGCTCTGTCGACAAGTCGCAAGTGCCAGATAAACCTGGAAAACCTTTACGCGCCGAATGATTTAAACTCGGCGGCCCGCCAACACTGACTGGGTTGGAATATGCCGGGCTGCCACAGTCAGCTGAACCTGCAGTTGAGGCGAACTTCTTGTTTGCCTTCGTAGGCGAAGCAGGACGGCCCGAGGGAAGAAGCGGGGATGGCAATTGGATGTGTGAAATCGACGGAATTGAACGTGAGCTCGGTGAGTTAGATGATAACAGCCGAGCGATTGCAAGTGTAACTCGGCAGTCAGACCAGACTGTGCATCGTACCAGGATAATGAAGCTGCTTCCGGGAGAACGGCTGGGATGGTGGTCAGCACAGACGTTTGATCGCCGAGTTAGAATGAGAGCCCTCGTATTGGGTGCAGTGAATGACCGAAGGACCAAGATATTATTGGATACCGGAGCAAATGTCTCGGCGATCTGTGAGTACTTCGCGAGGAAACTGCGTCTCAAGAGAGTGGCCAGCCGAGATAAGCGAATTGACATACAAGGAATAAGTAAAGACAGAATGGTGACAATGTCAAGAGCAGTGGTGAAAGTGACACTCGGCTGGGAAGTGGCATACGAGTGTGAAGTATGGATAATGCCTCATCATGCCGGAGTCGATTTGATTCTCGGCACCGACTTCATGATACCAGCTGGAATCCGTCTGGATCTGTACAACTCGGCGGTAAAGCTACCCGATGAGATGGTGATTCCACTCATCCGATCAAGTAATGCACCGACCAAGACCGAGTTCGGACCAAATGTCCCATGCGGGCCACCAGACGGGTTGACGATCGAAAGTCGAATGACCGCTGAGTTCAAATTGCCCAGGCGACAACCCAGTGAGTCGACGCATGACTTGTGTGTGCGACGGACGAAGGGTTGGATTCCAACGGTTGTTTTTAATCGCCGAGGAAGACCAACCCATGTCCTGATTACGAACGTACGACAGACGTCAGTCTGGTGCCCACCTCACTTTTATGTGATAAAATGGCAACCACACGGAGTACTGGCCAATGAGGGATATGTCCGCGTGAACTCGGCGAAGTACCGTGACTGGCAGATATTGGCCTTTGAGTCGGCGATGGATAAAGATTTGCTGCAGAAAGAACAACGACTGTACGACGACTGGTTGTCACACCAACCGCCAGCTGTGGAAAGACGAAAATACCCAACTCCGACGGCGGTGGAAAGACCACCTCCTCCAGTGGAAAGTGGACCAGAGCTAACATGCGCCGAACGCTGGAGAAGGATCGAAGCCGACACTGAAGCC